TCAAAATAAAATGTACAACGTTCAAAAAAAACCAACCTATGCCTCTGTAGCTGCATCATGCAATATTTGAGGGCAGTACTAAAAAGACTGCACCTAATCAAAAGAAAAGGTATTGATGGCTAAAACAATTAAAATTATGTCATGGAATGCAAATGGGTTGCTCAACCATCACCAAGAAGTACAGGCAATCCTGGACATAAATAAACTAGACGTGTGCCTGATATCAGAAACGCACTTTACTAAACAATCTTTCATTAGATTTAAAGGATATAAAGTCTACCACACTATACATCCAGAAAATGCAGCAAGGGGAGGAAGTGAAAATGAAAATCTCAACCATAATGAGGAAATGAAACTGGAAGCGGAAGATATACAAGCAATGGCAATAAACATTACAACAAAGAATGGTAAAAATTACGGTAGTTAGCTTGTACAGCCCCCCGAAACACAATATTAAGTGTGATAGATATGAAGAGTTCTTCAAAAACATAGGAAAACGATTCATCATTGATGGTGATTTTAATGCTAAACACACGCACTGGGGATCGAGGCTCATCACAACTAAAGGGAGTTATTAAAAGCGGTTCAAAAATATGGGGTGTGAAACCTTATCAACGGGCAAACCCACATACTGGCCTACAGACCCAAACAAGGTTCCTGATCTTATTGATTTCTTTATCATAAAAGATGTTTCAAGCAATTGTTCTAACTTTAAGTGAAAACATTATAATGAAGCCAGCTAACCCATATCTGACTAACAAATGGACTGATTGGGAAAGCTTTAGAATTTTACTTGACCAAAGAATTGAGTTAGCAGTTCCATTACAATCTGAAGAACAGTTAGATCTGGATGTAGAAAAACTGACCAATGATATCCAGTATTCAGCGTGGCAAAATACATCTGAAGTTTGTTTAAGACCAAAAGGTAACAATTATCCCAAAGAAATATTGGAACTAATTTTTGAAAAAAGAAAAGCGAGGAAAAAATGGCAACAATCCAGAGCCCCACTAGATAAAACTAGACTGAATAACTTAACGTCTCAATTGAGAAATGAAATTAAACAATTTAAGAACGATACCATGAGTGCGTTTCTATGTGAAGTTACAAATGGCTCAAGTACTGAATATTCACTTTGGAAATCTACCAAAAGACTGAAAAGGCCAATTATGCAAACCCCTCCAATTAAAAACATTGATGGTAGCTGGGCTAGAAATAACTATCAGAAAGCATCCAGATTTGCTGAACACCTTGAAACTATTTTTCATCCCAACACGATGGATGACACTACACTGTTACCAAACATTATTGCACAAGAAAAGATGGAAATACCACGGGTCACTCTAGCTGAAATCAAAAAAGAAATTAAAAATACCATGAACCCTAAAAAAGCTCCTGGTTTCGACCTGATCACCGGCCTTTTATTGAAAAGATTAAAACCAATAATTGATGAGAAAAATCTTATTCCAAATCATCAATTTGGTTTTCGGTATCAACACTCTACGATTGATCAGGTTCATCGAATAACTGATACAATTGAAAAAACATTAGAAAAAAAAAAGTGTGCTCAGCAATATTCCTTGATGTAGCACAAGCTTTCGATAAAGTTTGGCATGCAGGATTGAACTATAAACTTAAAATGTTTCTTCCAACACAATTCTCGAAAATTCTGAAATCATATATATATATCAGAACGCTATTTCAGAATCAAACAAGAGGACGCTTTTTCTGCCCTAAAAAACATCCAAGCGGGAGTTCCGCAAGGTAGTGTATTGGGACCAGTTCTTTATCTCTTATATACTAGTGACCTACCAACATTTAACGAAAATATTGTTGCTATATTTGCTGATGATACTGCAATTTTAGCCGTTGGCGACAATAATATTGAGTCAACAGAAAAATTACAAAAAGCCATTGCAGAAGTACAACGCTGGACAACTACTTGGCGCATTAAGCTAAATGAAACCAAATCAGTGCATATAGATTTCACCAATAAACGTATACAGCACAAACCAATATATATGAACCAAAAAATAGTTCCGTATGAGAATACAGCAAAATATCTTGGTATGACCCTTGATACTAAACTTAGGTGGAAATCACATGTTAAAAAAAAAACAAGAAGAATTAAAACTTAAGTATAGAAAAATGTACTGGCTATTAGGCAGATATTCTGCCTTGTCAATATACAACAAGCTACTCTTGTATCAACAAGTCCTTAAACCGATCTGGACTTATGGTATTCAACTCTGGGGTTGTACCAGTCAAAGCAACAGATTAATTATCCAAAGATTTCAAAACAAAGTACTTCGTGGTATTGTTAACTGTTGACACCGTCATCAAAAAGTATGCTCAAAGTCATGCACAACGACTTCAACAACATATCAACATTGAGGCTCTTCAGCTCCTTGATAATGATGGCCTTACCAGAAGATTGAAGCGAGTAAAACCTTTCGAACTTGTGTAACAAAAAAAAAAAACAAATGAACTATAAAATAAAATAATCATTGTTCAGGTCTCACTAAAATAGTGTCTATAATACATACATATGTATAAATTTAACATCTGAAATGAATATCATAGGATAAGCATTTTGTAATTTTAAAACCGTATAAATTTAAGTCAGAAACAAATAGTTTATTAGTATTAATTTACTAGATTGCTATAAAATAAATTCCACAAAGGGGTGTTTTTACAAAAAAAAAAAAAAAAAAAAAAAAAAGATTAAGGTGAGTATTTCAACTAGTACTATTAGGGTAAGTATTTTATATATAAGCTATAAACTTTATAATTTCAATTCAAATCTATAATATTAGAATGTATAACAACAGGTGAAGCAAATAAAAGCGTTATAATTGGCAAAAATTTTTCAGCCGCTAAATTTATTTCGAAAGGTGGCAGTTTAATAATATACTGCACTAAATTTTTCTATTTACTAATTCAAGACAACGCTAAGAAAAATACAAGTAACCCATTTACTAAACTGGAATCCACTGATGTATTTGATTGTCGGCTCTGTCGACACAAAATATTTCCCCGATCGAAATTGCAGAAAGGACGGACAAAAGAGTATTAAGAACTAAAAGTATTCAATATGACCTAAATCGAAGTTTTAATAGAGCTCAAGCCGATATCAACAACAATTTAAGTTAAGCTTTTACAAAACGCAATTCTTCATTAAATTATTCTACAGGGTGGCTCACGAATCGTGCTACAAATCCAAACCGTAATTACTTTTTTTTTTTAAATTAATGCACTACATTTTTTTTATCGTATAGCAAATTTAATTTTATTTTATATAATTCATTATTTTTAAATTGCGTGTGCAGTTGCTCCAGAAAACTTAAAACAACGAGAAGGTGCAAATTGAATTTTGTATGATGCTCGATTGATTGGCTGAAAAATTGAGATCAAGGAGTTCACCATTTTCTGTAGTATTTGCTGTTATTTAACAGAAATGAGAATTTCTAACAACGTTCTCTGACAAATTAAGCATCCCCAATATAAAGAGAAAAATGAAATGAAATGAATGAGAAAACAAAAAATACAAATGCCACTTCACATATATATGATTATTTTTTTCCATATAAACGATTTTTATGATGAAAAATTGATAAAAAATGATTTTTTTCACAAATGCTACATTGATAAAATGTGAAAGATTATGCAAAAAATGATATTTTACTATTTTCATAATTTTCTAATTTCAGTTGTCACAGAATTAATAATTTATGTACGTACATATGTATATCAATATGTTATATAATATAATATAATAATATATTATCACTTATCAATAAATACATGTGCGCGCACTGCTCTATATGTAAGTATGTGTGTACAAATATGCGTATGACATTGCAAATAAGTAATGCATACCCAAATCTACATACATTTAAGCGTAAGTATGTACGTAAGCCAATGGGCAAAATACCAACATTGTTGTACAAAAACAACAATTGTCTCAAATACCATCAGCACCAGAAATCAATATGGCAGCCAAATTGACAAATCCTAAATTTGTAGTAAATCACACACCAAGAACATTTTCATTCATGAACGCTGGCTCTCAAGCAATAAGCTAAGTCGTTTCATTCATACAAGCAAACGCCTTACACATCTCCCCGAGCATGCGCTTGCCAACAAGCGTCTTTTCACGATGATGCCAAAAGCTAGAAATCATAAATTGAAAAACTTTTTTAGAAGGGAAAAGTCACAACCCTGCAAACCCATAAAACACAGAAAAAAGGGACAAAAGTGGCAACAAAGCTTTTGTCGACTTAAAATATTTTACAATTCTAAAATATTTTTCCGTGACTCGCAAAATTTGCGTCAAAATGTATGCATGCTCATATATAAACATACATATCTAGAATGATTTGTGGGCAAAGCTGTTAGAGCGGCAAGGGAAGCGGTGACAATCGGCGAGCGTTCGTTTATTTTGCAGCACATCTCGGATTTTCTACCAACAACACAATGTTGTGACGCTTTGTCGTCGCGTCAGTCCTTCGACAGATTGACTCTTTGACATAAAAGCAAAAAACGTGAGCTTCCATCATTGGTTGACCGTGTCAACGGAGATTTCACATGAAGTAATGAGTGTTCATATCTACATACATATGTTGTTTGTAGACAAATTTACAAATATTTTTCTTTCATATTTCTTTACATGTACACATGATATGAAAATGCCGACGGCAAAACACAATTCTGTACTTTTATGACTCCATAATGATTTATTTTAAGAAATATATCAATTTATGTGTTAAATTAAATATTAATAACTCACAATAAAGTAAAAATTAATTAACATAAAATAATTTAGAAATAATAATAAATAATAGTTCAATAAAAGGGAATATGTTTCAAATGGCATATCAATATTCCCAGTTTAGCATACATATAGTATTATATTCTCTTCAATATTTGCCGGTTGGTTATGTTAAGAGAGCGTATGTGTACAGATTCACCGCTGTTATAAAAGCGAGAAATGTTATTTGTTTCTTGTGCATGTGAGATGAACTCCTTGATAAAATCCTACAAATTGTTCGCTGTCGAACCTGCACCTTCTCGCTGTTTTAAGTTCTCTAGTTTGATTCCAGCAAGATGGAGTTCTCTGATCAAACGCTATTGAAAAGGATACGTCTTCAGCTCAGTCTTGCGTAAAAAAAACTAATTCAACATCTTTTAATAACGGTGAACATATACAGTTACTGTTACACCATTTTCTTCAAAGAAGTATGGCCCGACAATACGTTCCGTCCGATTATTTCTGGATTTGAATCATTCCATATACGTCAATTTTGCTTGTTTACATTTCCGTTTAGATCAAAACGGGTCTCATTAGACATAAATAGCCAATTTATAAAGTTATTGTCCTCTTCGACCATTTCAATCGTTTTTTAGCAAAATTCCTGGCAAATAGGCAAATCTACAGGTTTCAACCGGCTTGTTCTTTGAATTTTGTACGGAAACAGTTTTAAGTCATCATGAGTTATCCTTTGTAATGATTGTCTGCTAACTCCAAGTTGCGCCGATTAGCTGTGAGTCGAAACTCTTGTATTTGCCTGAATTGCCGGCCAAACAGGCGCAATTGTTTCTTGAACACGAACATACGGATCTCGATGGTACGGTCTTCTTAGAATACTTCATATTTTCCAATCTTATAATGGCCCATCTACTCACAGAGAAAAAAAAGGGATTACAGTTTGTTTTTGTAGTACGATTCAAACGAGGAGTTCAAAAAATAAATATCATATCAATCATCAAGTAACAATACGAAACATATGAACAAAATTAAAAAATTAAAATACGTTATGCGAACTGTGTACAGAGGGGGCTAAATTCAAGTATTGCGTCGAGTTTTAAAAATTAAATCAGTACCATTGAAATAAACAATTTTTTTTTGTAGAAATTGCTTGCCCACTCGCATACTCTTAAAGATTACATCATTCAATTCTTCGTAACAACAATTTTCCAGCTCATCCCAAAGCAGCGTTGATGTTAGAAGAACTTTGGGTGCCCAGAATACAAAAAACCGAAAATTGTCAAGAGGCAGGAGTAGTTTTTTGTCGGGAGATCTCTATTAACTTAACATTCACGCTACCAGATCACTTTAGTGGCTACAATTATGGTATCAGTAGATGCTCTGCTTCAAAGTTCATTTTAATTCATTGACATTTTCATTCACTACGGTAGCAGAGCGGCAATATTGGCCGTGAGCTCGCTAATAGAGAGTTCAAGGTTAGTTAAGGAGTAGCTGACCTCACTAACAATAGCATCAAACTACTTTATTAGCATATTGGCTTAGGTGTATGGTGAAAAAGGAATCGCTGTAAGCTGAAAAGCTGATGAGCTCACGATAAATGACAACCAATCGACTATAAACGATCTTCTTGTACACTCTCAGCTACAGCCGCTATATTTTCTTCACTGCGGGCTGGACGTGGTCTATTCAGTCGTATATTATTCAATTATAAATGCTAGATCTCAAGATTGGTGATGGTGTAGCGAATAGTACGCTCAGAAGGCCGATTACGTTCACCATAATTTAAACGAAGCGCGCGATATACGTTCTTTACTGAACGTGAATTTTCGTAATAAAGTTGAACGCTTTGTAGACGTTTTTTAAGCGTATGTTTTTCCATAATGAAACGCCAAATAATACTGAACAAAAAAACATGATAGCTTAACACGACTCACAGTGAAAAAGAGGCTATTGAAAAGTAATCCCTGTATCATCTTGTAAGTTTAATGAAATTAAAACTTACCTTAAAGAGCAGCACAAATATTACGAAAGATTTGTTTATTTTTGCGTTTCTTCCGTCCAATTATGGCTCAATTGGCATTGTATGACTCATATTTTTAAATTGCGTGTGACACAAAAGTTTCTTAATAGTAGAAATAAGAATGAAGAGTGTTTGCACTAACTTAATATTATTTACGCTTACAAAAATTTCGCGATTTTTTCTTCCAATGCCTTCAAGCTTGCTTCCAATCTTTCAATGGCAAAAATCAGCTATAGACGCCCTTATTAACTCCTGACGAATGAAATTTTGTGTCAAGACCTATTGTTCTGTCAGAGCTTCCATTATGGCCTTGTTGTGTGCAAATTGAGTTTCTGAAACTAGTTGTATTAATAATAAGATTTACTTACGATTCATTTTTTTTAATATATCTCAATATTTCACGAACTTTCACTGCACTGCACGCAAGCATTTTCAAATTTGGTTGGTGGAGATGAGCTAGAACAGTTGTTCTTAAAGACACTCGAACACCGATACATTGAACCGTCTTTGAGTTGTGTTTTAAAGCAACTGGTTCTAAACCAAATTCGAAATGATTGGTGCAGAAATATATTTTTTGGACTGGTTCTTTATATTAATGCATAGGTGTTAACTGGTTTTGATCTGCAAAACAAACAATGGGACTGTCGGTAGTTTAATTTTCGTCTTATCATCAATAGTTTATTTTGACTATCGATGGTTTATGCCTTAACTAGATTTACCAACAATTTTCATAAAATTTCAAAATTTCACAAAATATAGCTACATAACGACATAGTCTGGTAATTCCAGATGTGAAGTCTAATTTTGGATGACATGGTAGCGTAAAATCATCTTTTGATTTAAATTCGTTAGTACTGAAAATTTTTCAAATAATATTCAAATTATTATATTGAACTTTTTTATACTTTAATAAGGTGTTGGGTAGAAAGAATGTCGCGAATATTTACAAAGTTAAGTATTTCTACTAAATATACCTCACTTATTATACGTGCAGCGTAATTCAAATTTTCAGCCACGGTTTTCCAGTATATTAATAAGAATTAAAATGTGGAAAACAACACAAAGAAAGAATTCTACAATCATTTTATTTAATACTTATGATATTGAGAACAAAGTTATGAAAATGAAACATACAGTCTGTTGCGGTCAAATTTCACAATATATTATATGTACATACACCCAAAACCAATGCCTACAGTGCATATAAACGAATATCATTTGATTAATTATGCTATAATGTTACATCACCAATGACATTATTTCTTCCATTTTGTCCACAAAACGCTTTTTAAGGTTTAAAATAAAATGTTCTTTACTTATTTTATTAAATGTTAATTTTCACAAACTTTTATTGGTTTAACACTTTTTGATAAAGATTAATACCACGGTTTTAAGTCCAGAAAGTGTTGACGGTTGGTAGGAGGTTTTTACGGACGGTTTTTACGATGACGTTGCGCAAAGAGATCGGAATTATTTGAATGTTTATGTTGATGTGGCGCGAGCGTAGACGAAAACGAATGATATATAGCGAATGAGAAATGGTGTTGTGTTGTCCTGTGTGGTGTCATCTGGTGTGGGGTGAAATTCTTGAGTGTTACACAGGTGGTGTGTTTCATTAAGGCGTGTCAGTTTTTCCCAAGAGAGTGTTGACTGAGGAGGAGTTTAAACTCATTTAACATCCTGGCCCTAGGCGAATATTTGCCTAGTATTACACGTAAATGCTATATTACATGTATTTCAGAGTACTGCTGGTTGAGTAGTCGGAGCGCGGATACATGGTGATAAGTTATATCCATATTTACCTGTATGGGCAGAAGGCATATTCGGTATGCATTTTGCTGTGCGTGCAAAGATATGTAACTAATTTTGCGGGTTTTGAGGTTGTATGTGCTTGTCATACTTATTGTATTACGTTGTTTCTTTATAATTTTATTATCTGTATTTTGTTTAAATTTCTTTACCATCGGTTTATTACGGTTACGACTCCACGCCTGGCTCAGATATGGCAGAATGGGTGCTCCTTTGAAACCTAAGAGAGATCTTTGCGAGTGAGATTTGTGATTTTCGCTCACTTTTGAAGTGAGATTTACAACTTTACAAGTGTTTCCCATAAACTACCCGTATGAAGAGCTCTTAGATAGATGCGATAAGTGCGACCTTGCTTTTGTAGTCTGGATGTTCACTGTATCACATTGCAAGTATGGTGATCTTAACTTTAATTTTGAATTGTATTGATTATGAAAATTTAGACAACTATGAGGCACTATAGTAAAGAAGTGTCGATTTTGGATATTCTATGACAATTACTCGTATGTTGCGGACAGATATTATGTATGAAGTGGGCGATGGCAAGAATCGGTAGATTCTGATATCGTTAAGATTGTTTGAGGATTGAGACCATTTTCTAAGTGAAGAAGAATTAGGATTTTCACTTGTATCATAATTGGAAAGCCATCCTGCGGGGTCACAAAATGTTATGCGGATAATGGGATATTAATTCAGTAGGATATGAAAGCTGATCAGATATCGCATTCCATTGGATCCTGTATTTTTATGTTGTACTCTTTTCAAATTTAAGAAATTAGTGTACAACAAATTTTCTTTTCGAATACTAGATAATAAATCTCGATGATTTGGTTGAATTATAGATATTTGTGTTTTAACCTGAGGTTGTCAGAACAAACTCTCACATGGTTTTACCAATTTGTAGAGTGTTGGAAGTTTGTGGTTTGGTGGTAGTCGTACGACGTACCGGCCATTATTTGATCGAGTAGTTTGGCTTTGTAGAAGTCTTTACAATACTGATCTTTTGGGGTTGTAATTAATGAGGGGCGTTTTCTAACCCGAGTTTCTATAATTGAATGGTATTCTTTAGAGTATTCGTCAAATTGAGTTGTTGTTGTGGAAACTGGTTCTGTAACTAGGATCCAACCGAAAAGTATTTGTGCCAATAGTTTGTTTGAAATTTTCTCAACACCTCGAGTATTATCTGGGTATGAGATCTGCCTAATAGAATGTCTATTTGAGCGGGGTATGCAGTTGGATCTACTTTAGGTGTGTAACCTTTGCCAATGCTTTTTATATGATATTGAAGCATATTTGTTAGTTGCGGTAAGACTATGCTTTGCTTTAATTCTCTTATCCGCTTTGGGAAATTAGTTAGTTTGCACTAACTTAATATTATTTACGCTTACAAAAATTTCGCGATTTTTTCTCCAATGCCTTCAAGCTTGCTTCCAATCTTTCAATGGCAAAAATCAGCTATAGACGCCCTTATTAACTCCTGACGAATGAAATTTTGTGTCAAGACCTATTGTTCTGTCAGAGCTTCCACTATGGCCTTGTTGTCTGCAAATTGAGTTTCTGAAACAAAAACTAGTTGTATTAATAATAAGATTTACTTACGATTCATTTTTTTTTAATATATCTCAATATTTCACGAACTTTCACTGCACTGCACGCAAGCATTTTCAAATTTGGTTGGTGGAGATGAGCTAGAACAGTTGTTCTTAAAGACACTCGAACACCGATACATTGAACCGTCTTTGAGTTGTGTTTTAAAGCAACTGGTTCTAAACCAAATTGAAATGATTGGTGCAGAAATATATTTTGACGATCGTTCTTTATATTAATGCATAGGTGTTAACTGGTTTTGATCTGCAAAACAAACAATGGGACTGTCGGTAGTTTAATTTTCGTCTTATCATCAATAGTTTATTTTGACTATCGATGGTTTATGCCTTAACTAGATTTACCAACAATTTTCATAAAATTTCAAAATTTCACATAATATAGCTACATAACGACATAGTCTGGTAATCTAGATGTAGTCTAATTTTGGATGACATGGTAGCGTAAAATCATCTTTCATTTAATTGTTAGTACTGAAAATTTTCAAATAATATCTAAATTATTATATTGAACTATTTTTATACTTTTATAAGGTGTTGGGTGTGTTAGAAAGAATGTCGCGGAAATATTTACAAATAGTTAAGTATTTCTACCTCAAATATACTACTCACTTAGTTATACGTGCAGCCGTAATTCAGAATTTTGTAGCCACGGTTTTCAGATATTAAAAGAATTAAAACTGTGGAAAACAACAATTGCAAGAAAGAATTCTACAATACATTTTATTTAATACTTATGATATTGAGAACAAAGTTATGAAAATGAAACATACAGTCTGTTGCGGTCAATTCACATATTATATGTACATACACCCAAAGACTAATGCCTACAGTGCATATAAACGAATATCATTTGATTAATTATGCTATAATGTTATACCAATGACATTATTTCTTCCATTTGTCCACAAAACGCTTTTTAAGGTTTAAAATAAAATGTTCTTTACTTATTTTATTAAATGTTAATTTTCACAACCTTATTGGTTTAACACTTTTGATAAGATTAATACCACGGTTTAAGTCCAGAAAGTGTTGACGGTTGGTAGCGAGGTTTTTACGGACGTTTTACGATGACGTTGCGCAAGAGATCGGAATTATTTCGAATGTTTAAGGTTGATGTGCGCTTAGGCCGAGAGAAAACGAATGATATATAGCGAATGAGAAATGGTATGTTGTGTTGTCCTGTGTGGTGTCATCTGGTGTGGGGTGAAATTCTTGAGTGTTCACAGTGTGGTGTGTTTCATTAAGGCGTGTCAGTTTTCCCGAGTAGAGTGTTGCACTTGGAGGAGGAGTTTAAACTCATTTAAACATCCTTCAGGCGATATATTTTGCCTAGTATTACACGTAAATGCCTATATTACATGTATTTCAGAGTACTGCTGTTGAGTAGTCGAGAGCGCGGCATGGTGATAAAGTTATATCCATATTTACCTGTATGGGCAGAAGGCATATTCGGTATGCATTTTGCTGTGCGTGCAAAAGATAGTAACTTAATTTTGCGGGTTTTGAGGTTGTATGTGCTTTTCATACTTATTGATTACGGTTGTTTCTTTTATAATTTTATTATCTGTATTTGTTTAAAATTTCTTTACCATCGGTTTATTACGGTTAGACACTACGCCTGGCTCAGATATGGCAGAATGGGTGCCTTTGAAACCTTGAAGAGAGATCTTGCAGAGTGAGATTTGTGATTTCGCTCACTTTTTGAAGTGAGATTTACAACTTTTAAGGTTTCCCATAAACTACCGTATGAAGAGCTCTTAGATAGATGCGATAAGTGCGACCTTTGCTTTTGTAAGTCTGGATGCTTCACTGTATCACAGTGCTATGGATTCCTAACTTTAATTTTGAATTGTATTTGATTATGAAATTTAGACAACTATGAGGCACTATAGTGAGAAGTGTCGATTTTGGATATTCTAACAATTACTCGTATGTTGCGGACGATATTATGTAAGGATTGTCAAGAATCGGTAGATCTGATATCGTTAAGATTGTTTGAGATTGAGACCATTTTCTAGTGAAGAAGAGTTAGATTTTCGCTTGTATCAAATTGGCGAAAGCCATCCTGCGGGCAAAATGTTATTGCGGATAATGCGGATATTAATTCAGTAGGATATGAAAGCTGACTGATATCGCATCTATTGGATCCCTGTATTTTATGTTGTACTGCCTTTTCAAATTTAAGGAATTAGTGTAACAAATTTTCTTTCGAATACTTAGTAATAAATCTCGATGATTTGGTTGAATTATAGATATTTGTGTTTTAACACTGGGGTTGTCAGAACAAACCTCACATGGTTTTGCCAATTTGTAGAGTGTTGGAAGTTTGTGGTTTGGTGGTAGTCGTAGACGTACCGGCCATTATTTGATCGAGTAGTTGCTTTGAGTCTTTACAATACTGATCTTTGGGGTTGTAATTGATATGAGGGGCGTTTTCTAACTCCCGAAGTTTCCTTAATTTGAATAAGGTATTCTTTAGAGT